GAATCTCTAATAATAATAACCAATACGTTGCACGTATTACAGGTTGGGCTAGCGTACCACGCGTAAAATGTGGACGAGTTCACTCTCCACAGTCTCTCCTTCCCCCGGAGGCAGTGAACAGTGATGAGGATTGCAGCACCGCAACGGACATGTAAGTTTATTTTACTGCGTTTGTTATCTAGAACTTTCTGGAAATTTTTCTGCTTTTGCAAATAAGATATTGACGACTGAGTAAAGCAAAGTGCACTTCTTTTCTTGCCATATCGTTTTATATATGTCCGCACACACGATGCACTAAATTTAGGTTGCTGCTTTTCTTGGCGTCATTAATACTCTTAAGGCTTGTATTTTTTAGGCTGTTTGTTCAAACTTGCTACCAAAATTGGCATGAGCCAAACAGGGCTCGGCTCAGGTAACTTGAAAGCAAGTTGGATATCGTTTTTGGGACAAAAAGCAAAGGGGGTACCGTTTTTGAAGCCCAAAAGACGCAAAAATTGCGACGTTTCTTTTAATCGACTTTTTTGAGGGTTTTTTTAACGTTTAATTTTGGAGGGGACTTCGTGACATTTAGCAAAAGTCAAGGGAACTTCGTTTTTCGCATATTCGCGAAGCCCTGAAGCCAGAAGCAGCCATTTGGATATATCACCTAATTGGCTAGCTCGGCTACCATATCCATTTCCGTAATCCCATAGGAATCTAAGTCTTGCACCAACATTATCGGAGGTCCTTGATCTCCTCCATTTTTACGAACTGAATATGATTGAACGATATGAATATTGGGTTGTCCCAAAAATAATGTCGCATCACATGCTACCGCGGCAAGGTGAAGAAATGAATAGAGTAGTATTTGATAGGATAAAACAAGCTCCACAAGGCGTACAAAGGAAATTTTGCTCCGCTGAAGATTGAAGCCAAAAAAGAACTGTGCATCCTACTTGATAGTTGATATCTCTCTTTTGAAAACCTTCCTACCACCAGGTACAATTTTGTAGAGCTGGCTTCACTTAGATTTGCAGTATGGAGCGATCACGGATTGTTCAAGGATGTAATATTGCGATGGGAACAGCTTTTACATTGTGATTTAGCCGTGTTTCGAAAAAAATTGTTTTCAAAAAAACTGAAAACTCATGTAGCAGGACTTACACCCACGCTGATCTCATTACTCAATATTTTATGAGTCTGTGAAGTTTATAAAGGTTAATCACCATTCAACTTTTTTTAATCCCCTTTTATTGAACCTTAGAGTTTAGAATGGTTTCTTTCAGATGGCAGTATGGTCTACTGCTCGCCTCTTTGGTCACGCTGAACTCAGTTCAACCGTTGATTTGTCTGCCTCCGGATTTACTTCTCACGGATAGAATCATCAAGAACTATTATACATGTCTTTCGAGCGGTGTTCGTCAAGTGTAAGTTGTGCTAGATTTATGGCCCAGAAAGAAATTGCTTTTGAATTAATGTCTTTAGGGATCCTTACATGACAGCGCTAAAAAGCAAAATACTGATGTGCTTGTCGTCAAATCCCAAAAGCAGAGCTTCCGCAAAGAAGCTTGAGGTAACATTAACATCTGCCCATGAAACTTTCTCATAACCTACATGCCCTTCTTTTCCAGAAAGAAATCGTATCTATAAACTTCGCAGCTCCTGTATCAGTAGCCGGAACGAGTTCCGTACTAGTCTGAGGGT